CAGGGGCCCGACCCCTCAGCAGCATACCAACCGCACAACTCCACGCATGCTTGCCGCAACGAAGGACAATTTCTACAACAGCAGCAGTAAAGGTACGCAGGACAACTGCAGTAGCCGCCCTCCCCGCAGGACAACTGCAGTAGCCGCCCTCCCACCGGTACACGCGTACGCATTGGTGGCACCGTACAGCTGGACCGCACTGCGCGGACGGCGACCGAATCCCAGCTCCTCGGCAGAAGTCGGAGTCGACGGGTTGATGCCAGGTGCGTGGCCCGCGGNGCGCCGAGATCGCTTTTTGAGACCCGGTCGATCAAGGGGCTGCGCGTGTTATGAAAAACGTCACTCACTCACTCACGGACAAAAAATAATTTAGGGCTGCAGAGCCCAAGCTCCCGGGGAGCTTGGGAATCAAGTTTCCTTCTCCCACTCTCTCTCCAACTCTCTCTCAGCCTCTCTCTCTCGGCCTAACACGGCCGACTACGCAGTGCCCCAAAGCAACGTCCAGAACGTGCTTGCTGTACCCCGCGTAGTATACCTTTCACCCCTGGCCACGCTCCTCCAGGCGAACTACGATGTGAGACATCTTTCCTATCTCCGTCGTGTGCCAGTGTCCGGTCCATTCCAGGAACGGGTACTCCTCGATGAAGGCCCGGGCTTTGTTCACTGCATCCTGTTGGTTCCAGATGGGACCCATGTCAACATTGCGGTGTTCCCCCCTTACGAAACCCTCAAGTGATGTGAGGTTACGAACGTTGATGGTGGACATCACGCCAGGTACAGTGGTGGACCAGTGTCCAGTCCATTTCAACCACGGATGCTTGTCGATGTACGCCTTAGCTTTTGTATTGGCGTCGCCATGGTTCCAGATCGGACCGATCTCGACATCCCGGGCGTGTGCCGATCCGCTCATCGTCGCGTGGTTCCCTCTTGTCGGCAGCTCCTGCACACAAAAAGTGTTTGTGACATACGTACAGTACAGGCATGCATCCAGTCCAGCGGAACGACGTGGGTAATGTGATGTACATAGTGTATTTAGAGCATCGGCAAAATCCAAGGATCAATATTGCTTGATTGGTTGCAGGGTGTGTCATACCAGAGATGTCACGAGATGTCACGACATCTCACAAGGTCTGAAGAGAACAATTTGGGCAGGAGGAGTAGTAGACGTCTCACGAGATGTCTTTAGATCTCGTGAGAGATATTCGAGATCTCCCGAGCCCTCGGAACGCTTCGCGAGATGTCGCAAGACGGAGTCGCGTGAGACGTGTCGCTAGGTCTCGTGAGATGTATCGCGATAGAACTCGCGAGCCATATCGCGGGACTTTCGCGATAAATCTCGCAAAAATCTGGCGCGACGGTTCACGAGAATCTGTCTGACAAAATCTCGCGAGGTCGGGGGAGATTTCAAGAAATGTAGCGCCATCTCGCGAGGACTCTCACGTCTCGTGAGATATCCTCATTCGAACTTTATCAATAATTTTCGACGATTGGGGACCTCCGTTCCCAACATGCCACACACATTTTTCACTGCCGAATCTCAATTGTTGAGTCTATACCGGGGGTCTTTCTGTCTGCGGTGAGGAAGGTACGTCGACTACGGCGGTTGTACATTACCCCAAAGACAAAAAGAAAGCACATAAAATCCATTCAAGTGCAGACAACTTTCTCTGAGCATTTCTTTTCAACACAAGGCGCAAACCATCCTTGGACCTACCAAGCGAGGTGAGTGTGTTTGGTCTACTTTTCACCGAGTGTCTAATAATCGGAAATCGAAATTGAATTGCATCATTTAGCTACAATGGTGGCGCCATTTCCCAAGAGGGTGTATGGGGTGTGTGTATGGCGTTGCAACGCTATCGTTCTCTTCTTTTGCACTTTTGCACTACTACTAGCGCTTGACAAACACTACGGAGTAAGTCCTCTATTCGGACGCTACCCTGGAGCCCTCACACACCTGGCCACGCTCCTCCAGGCGAACTACGATGTGAGACATCTTTCCGATCTCCGTCGTGTTCCAGTGTCCGGTCCATTCCAGGAACGGGTACTCCTCGATGAAGGCCCGGGCTTTGTTCACTGCATCCTGCTGGTTCCAGATGGGACCCATGTCAACATTGCGGTGTTCCCCCCGTACGAAACCCTCAAGTGATGTGAGGTTACGAACGTTGATGGTGGACATAACGCCAGGGACAGTGGTGGACCAGTGTCCAGTCCATTTCAACCACGGATGCTTGTCGATGTACGCCTTAGCTTTTGTATTGGCGTCGCCATGGTTCCAGATCGGACCGATCTCGACATCCCGGGCGTGTGCCGATCCGCTCATCGTCGCGTGGTTCCCTCTTGTCGGCAGCTCCTGCACACAAAAAGTGTTTGTGACATACGTACAGTACAGGCATGCATCCAGTCCAGCGGAACGACGTGGGTAATGTGATGTACATAGTGTATTTAGAGCATCGGCAAAATCCAAGGATCAATATTGCTTGATTGGTTGCAGGGTGTGTCATACCAGAGATGTCACGAGATGTCACGACATCTCACAAGGTCTGAAGAGAACAATTTGGGCAGGAGGAGTAGTAGACGTCTCACGAGATGTCTTTAGATCTCGTGAGAGATATTCGAGATCTCCCGAGCCCTCGGAACGCTTCGCGAGATGTCGCAAGACGGAGTCGCGTGAGACGTGTCGCTAGGTCTCGTGAGATGTATCGCGATAGAACTCGCGAGCCATATCGCGGGACTTTCGCGATAAATCTCGCAAAAGTCTGGCGCGACGGTTCACGAGAATCTGTCTGACAAAATCTCGCGAGGTCGGGGGAGATTTCAAGAAATGTAGCGCCATCTCGCGAGGACTCTCACGTCTCGTGAGATATCCTAATTCGAACTTTATCAATAATTTTCGACGATTGGGGACCTCCGTTCCCAACATGCCACACACATTTTTCACTGCCGAATCTCAATTGTTGAGTCTATACCGGGGGTCTTTCTGTCTGCGGTGAGGAAGGTACGTCGACTACGGCGGTTGTACATTACCCCAAAGACAAAAAGAAAGCACATAAAATCCGTTCAAGTGCAGACAACTTTCTCTGAGCATTTCTTTTCAACACAAGGCGCAAACCATCCTTGGACCTACCAAGCGAGGTGAGTGTGTTTGGTCTACTTTTCACCGAGTGTCTAATAATCGGAAATCGAAATTGAATTGCATCATTTAGCTACAATGGTGGCGCCATTTCCCAAGAGGGTGTATGGGGTGTGTGTATGGCGTTGCAACGCTATCGTTCTCTTCTTTTGCATTTTTGCACTACTACTAGCGCTTGACAAACACTACGGAGTAAGTCCTCTATTCGGACGCTACCCTGGAGCCCTCACACACCTGGCCACGCTCCTCCAGGCGAACTACGATGTGAGACATCTTTCCGATCTCCGTCGTGTTCCAGTGTCCGGTCCATTCCAGGAACGGGTACTCCTCGATGAAGGCCCGGGCTTTGTTCACTGCATCCTGCTGGTTCCAGATGGGACCCATGTCAACATTGCGGTGTTCCCCCCGTACGAAACCCTCAAGTGATGTGAGGTTACGAACGTTGATGGTGGACATAACGCCAGGGACAGTGGTGGACCAGTGTCCAGTCCATTTCAACCACGGATGCTTGTCGATGTACGCCTTAGCTTTTGTATTGGCGTCGCCATGGTTCCAGATCGGACCGATCTCGACATCCCGGGCGTGTGCCGATCCGCTCATCGTCGCGTGGTTCCCTCTTGTCGGCAGCTCCTGCACACAAAAAGTGTTTGTGACATACGTACAGTACAGGCATGCATCCAGTCCAGCGGAACGACGTGGGTAATGTGATGTACATAGTGTATTTAGAGCATCGGCAAAATCCAAGGATCAATATTGCTTGATTGGTTGCAGGGTGTGTCATACCAGAGATGTCACGAGATGTCACGACATCTCACAAGGTCTGAAGAGAACAATTTGGGCAGGAGGAGTAGTAGACGTCTCACGAGATGTCTTTAGATCTCGTGAGAGATATTCGAGATCTCTCCAGCCCTCGGAACGCTTCGCGAGATGTCGCAAGACGGAGTCGCGTGAGACGTGTCGCTAGGTCTCGTGAGATGTATCGCGATAGAACTCGCGAGCCATATCGCGGGACTTTCGCGATAAATCTCGCAAAAATCTGGCGCGACGGTTCACGAGAATCTGTCTGACAAAATCTCGCGAGGTCGGGGGAGATTTCAAGAAATGTAGCGCCATCTCGCGAGGACTCTCACGTCTCGTGAGATATCCTCATTCGAACTTTATCAATAATTTTCGACGATTGGGGACCTCCGTTCCCAACATGCCACACACATTTTTCACTGCCGAATCTCAATTGTTGAGTCTATACCGGGGGTCTTTCTGTCTGCGGTGAGGAAGGTACGTCGACTACGGCGGTTGTACATTACCCCAAAGACAAAAAGAAAGCACATAAAATCCGTTCAAGTGCAGACAACTTTCTCTGAGCATTTCTTTTCAACACAAGGCGCAAACCATCCTTGGACCTACCAAGCGAGGTGAGTGTGTTTGGTCTACTTTTCACCGAGTGTCTAATAATCGGAAATCGAAATTGAATTGCATCATTTAGCTACAATGGTGGCGCCATTTCCCAAGAGGGTGTATGGGGTGTGTGTATGGCGTTGCAACGCTATCGTTCTCTTCTTTTGCATTTTTGCACTACTACTAGCGCTTGACAAACACTACGGAGTAAGTCCTCTATTCGGACGCTACCCTGGAGCCCTCACACACCTGGCCACGCTCCTCCAGGCGAACTACGATGTGAGACATCTTTCCGATCTCCGTCGTGTTCCAGTGTCCGGTCCATTCCAGGAACGGGTACTCCTCGATGAAGGCCCGGGCTTTGTTCACTGCATCCTGCTGGTTCCAGATGGGACCCATGTCAACATTGCGGTGTTCCCCCCGTACGAAACCCTCAAGTGATGTGAGGTTACGAACGTTGATGGTGGACATAACGCCAGGGACAGTGGTGGACCAGTGTCCAGTCCATTTCAACCACGGATGCTTGTCGATGTACGCCTTAGCTTTTGTATTGGCGTCGCCATGGTTCCAGATCGGACCGATCTCGACATCCCGGGCGTGTGCCGATCCGCTCATCGTCGCGTGGTTCCCTCTTGTCGGCAGCTCCTGCACACAAAAAGTGTTTGTGACATACGTACAGTACAGGCATGCATCCAGTCCAGCGGAACGACGTGGGTAATGTGATGTACATAGTGTATTTAGAGCATCGGCAAAATCCAAGGATCAATATTGCTTGATTGGTTGCAGGGCGTGTCATACCAGAGATGTCACGAGATGTCACGAGATTTCACAAGGTCTGAAGAGAACAATTTGGGCAGGAGGAGTAAACAACATATTCGCCTGATTGAGAGCGTAGCATCTGATTGAGAGCGAGATTGCGCGATACGCTGTAGCCGCACTACCACTGAAAGGTGGAGCTTACTGTGTAGCTTGAATTGAAGGGCTAGCCCGTAGCTTCAAGCCGCTACCCTGGTCATCCTGTGAGAGTCTCTCGTTGTGGAGCTACAGCGGGGAGCAGAAGCTACAGCAGAGCCCACCGCCCGACGCGATACCGCCCTGAAACAGTTTGAGCAGAAATAGCCAATCTGGGCAAATCTAGCAACTTGTCTAGCTCCTCGCTGCAGCATCCGATGACGATGACACGCATATGCTCGCGAAGCTGCTGATGAGACCTTCAATTTGCACCGCTTCTTGGAATAGCCCGTCCCCTACTTGCCAAGAAATGGCAAGAGGCGTCTGGACCCGAAATTTCATTTTTTTTGGCTCTCGCTCTCAATCAGATACTTCGCTCTCAATCAGGCGAATATGTTGTTAGTAGTAGACGTCTCACGAGATGCCGTTACGTCTCGTGAGAGATATTCAAGATCTCCCGAACCCTCGGAACACTTCGCGAGATGTCGCAAGACGGAGTCGCGTGAGACGTGTCGCTAGGTCTCGTGAGATGTATCGCGATAGAACTCGCGAGCCATATCGCGGGACTTTCGCGATAAATCTCGCAAAAGTATCGCACAATCTCGGGCGACGTCTCACGAGACTCTGTCTACATTTTTTTTGCTAATTTTAGTAGTGACAAAATCTCGCGAGGTCGGGGGAGACTTCAAGAAATGTAGCGCCATCTCGCGAGGACTCCTGTGCGCGCAACATGGGACAGATCCTTTGCTATATATTTTTTCAGATGGAGCGTGCTGCAGAGACTGGTAGTTTGAGGAGAAAAAATACATCTTCCCCTTTGACCGGAGCGAAAGCTTAATTCAGAGTGGCAAAAATGAGTAAATTGAAGGGGCAAAGACGAAGGAAAGATGTTGACGACAAGAAAACAAATATCGAAAAAAAGGGTGTGGTGACCGGGAACCGACCGCGCTACCTGATGATTAGCGCTTTTTCAAGAGATATTCTTGGCCCTACTGTAACGTCAAATCCGACTTACACTTACTTCCGGACGGAGGGAGTATTACTCTGCCCATCTCGTGAGATGTCTGCGTAGACTACAAATAAACCGCCTCAGACAACTAAGATTAAAGCGCCCCGAGCGAACGCTTGACTACCGGTTGACAATGGACGGACTACAGTCAGCAAGGCAAGGTTAGGTAAGGCTTGCTGGATCAACATACATATCAGTAAGTGGCCGTAGCAGGTATCAAACAGAGCTAGCGACGACAGTGGAGCGGAATTCCATCTCGTGGTCCTACCCTATTCTCCTACCCTATTCTCCTCATATTCTCCGATCCTCCGGCGGTAAAACAGGAGGAAACAGAGAACTGCTGCAGCCCATGGCCAGAGCTTCACAGGGCGTACTATGAAAAAAGACGCGTTCTGGTAGAAGCCGGAGACTCACCTCTCCGTGTGGTTGGTGTGAACGAAACGAATTTCTGATTATCGAAGAGAGGGAAAGTGTGGGAAGGGGCGAACTCTGTGACAGAGACGGAAGCAAACCGCGGTCGGTGAGATTTGTGTAGGCGTACCACGTGGAAGTGGGTTTGGCCCCTTACACGCATTCCGAGGAATCCTAGGAAGCTTATATCCCTCCGAGGAATAATCCGAGGGCCGGTTCTGACTCTCTGTGTACCCCGGCCAGGATGGATCTCCTGGCTGGTCGTCTGACGTCACACTAACGAGTCAATGTATCCCATTGAACCCTCTGTATTTCGTTGTGCACGCAACGCTTCTGGTGCCACCTCTGTTCACTGCTTTTATTCGGGCGGGCGTGGGTTGGCAGTGAGTGGCCAACTTAACTAACTCAATCGGGAGGGAGGACACGCATCATCCCTCTGCTGCGAAAGCATTTTAATAATATTAGTTTCTTTTTTGAAAATGTGGGGCCCGTTAGGGGTACGCTTTTTGTTTTGTTTTGCAAAAAAAAAGCTGTTTAGAGGGATCGTGGGTGGAGTATGTGCGCACGAGAAAAATAATAATTTTCATGCACAGGGCCGTGAAAATTTAGCCATGGCTGTCTGTCTGGTGTCTGGTGTCTGGTGTCTGGTGTCTGGTGTCTGGTGTCTGGTGNCGTCGTCATTTTTGTTTTTCTCTGAGCAACAAACTACACGTACGTACGCAAGAAACCACGACGCACTGCCGTGCTGCACACATTGCTTTTGCAACTGGCAAGACACGCACTACACAGAGACAGGGAACATGGACAAGGGAGGCGGGACACACACACATACTGCTGTTAGCGACGGCGGAGGAAGCGGGGAACGTTTGGTTGGTCTGGGGTTNAGTCCCACCAACCAGCGTGTGTTGCAAACACCACACAGCGAGAGCGGGACGGGAGCAGGGTGTGCCCTATACTACTGCTGTGTACCTCTCTTGGCCCATTTTAATGCTATTTCGGGGGTAAGAAGGGAAAGCGAGGGTTTTTTCTCATGAAAAAACTTCTTACAGGTTGTTAGCGCCCTCTGCAAGGTACTACCCCACGCCCACCCGAACGAAAGCAGTGACGGAGGTGATGGCCTAAAAGATGAAACGGGTCGAGCGCATGAGAGCTGTAGCTTGTGTTGTGGTGATGTCGCTCCAGCAACAGAGGGTCGCTCCAGTAACAGAGGGATTTTCTCGCCGTTCGGAGACAGACAGACGCAAAAATTCATTTTTTCTCCATGATGCGTTCCAAACGTCCTCTGCCATTTTATTTTACTTCTTTTTCGGGTGCCTGGGGGATTGTCGATGGGTTGATCATAAGGACTGTCTCGGCTCACCTTGCATCTCGTGGGCTAGCGCGCGGCTGTTGATGAGCTGGCGTAAGAGAGATGTGTTGCTCGGTGCGGGGCACACAGGTGGCCGAACCCCCCTTGGGCAAGGTGGTACAAGGTGGTTCAATTATAGGTTAGCCAAGGTGTACCGTGTTTTCAGACCTTGACAACTTTCAAGCGCGGGCAACATACATACGCCAAAGCAACCCTCCCAAGGTCCAGCACCGGGTCAGATCTACGTCTTAAGCGTGTTCTCTCTTCCCATTATCGAGGTAAAAATATGGCAAGGTCCACCCGTGCGCTAGGTTCTTGGTGGGACCTTGTGGCTTTCCATACCTTGTCCAAGGTGCTCACAACCATTACTGCGAGTAACGAGTGCACAAGGCTATTTTTCTAGGGTTGTGACACGGTGCTGAGATGGTCAAATGGGCTCGAGTCTGCTGGGGTTATTTCGTGGTCGGCGATCGGACAGACAGACAGGCACGCATGGCTTATTTTCACCCTCCCTCACCCAATGTTTCTCCGTATTTTCGCACATACGTACGTACATCACGATCCCTCCAAACAGCTTTTTGTTGAAAACGAAAAGCACCGCTATCGGGCCTTTCCTCTTCAACAAAAAACTACGAGAGTTGGAGGTGGAATAGTTTTTTGTGGTGGTTGCACAAAAGTACCTGCAGTAGTAGGCTCGTGCTGTTCATTGGCTGGCTCGTGTGATTTTTCTCGTTGTACAGAAGAACGGGGGGCGGTCCATCATCACCAGCTAGAGAGGGGGGTGGTATCCATCATCATTCGCTAGAGGGGGGGGTGGTGACGATCCCTCAACAGCTTTTTTTTGCAAAACAAAACAAAAAGCGTACCCCTAACGGGACACACTTTTCACAAAAAAAAACTAATATAGAAAGGTGCTCTCTGGTGCGCTGACAGAGTTGTAGGACCACGAGACGGCAATACGGCCTGCTCCTCATTTATTCCAATCCTCCGATCCTCCGGCGCGGTGAAAACGCGAGGAAGAAGATAAGTAAGTGTGGCATGCAGCCAAATCACATCAATCACATTTTGGCCTCGAGTGANTGTTCATTGGCTGGCTCGTGTGATTTTTCTCGTTGTACAGAAGAACGGGGGGCGGTCCATCATCACCAGCTAGAGAGGGGGGTGGTATCCATCATCATTCGCTAGAGGGGGGGGTGGTGACGATCCCTCAACAGCTTTTTTTTGCAAAACAAAACAAAAAGCGTACCCCTAACGGGACACACTTTTCACAAAAAAAAACTAATATAGAAAGGTGCTCTCTGGTGCGCTGACAGAGTTGTAGGACCACGAGACGGCAATACGGCCTGCTCCTCATTTATTCCAATCCTCCGATCCTCCGGCGCGGTGAAAACGCGAGGAAGAAGATAAGTAAGTGTGGCATGCAGCCAAATCACATCAATCACATTTTGGCCTCGAGTGAACGTTCCTTGCTAACCTCGAGAATACGCAGAGGGTGACACGGGCAGTGGCACGGGCCTTGAGATTCGGGCGGGTGTGAGCCGACCCGGTCGCCATTTCGCTTTGAAGCTAATATATTGTGCTTTGCTCACAACGAACGGCTTCATTCTTTGTGCACTTCACGACCGCCTACATATGGCAACAGCCTCACAACGCGTAGTACTACATATGCGAAATATGCGATAAGGTATGTAGCAGCCGGCGACTCATGTCTCTGTTGGGATGTACCTGTAGCGCTGTCCTGATGCTGCTGATTACGCGACTCGTGCAGAGGTGGAATCACTGGTGGCTAAGCCAGTGTGTTGAACAACCCTTGACGATGTTGTGAAGTTTCGCCTGTGTGCCTCTGATGATGTGGTGGGTTGTTCTTGAACTGCTGTAGCTCGATGGCTGTGTTTAGAAGGTGATAGTTGGAAGTGAGCCCGGTTGGCGAGCATGTTCTGTACATCCGTGTGTCTCGAGGACCCAAAGATTTGATGATCCGGAAACGTTCTGGAACCCTACGTACCGTTCTACGTAGTACCTGAGCGACAGTTCTCGAGAAATCCTCATGAATCGCATTCTAATTGGTACGTACTTGAACTGCCTTTGTCCCTTCCAACATAAGTAAGTGCTGTTCCTGTCATCGTTCCCGGTCCAGGAAACTCAGAAACCTCTTGGGATATTCCTTGGGGAGAAAACACGCGTTCAACCCCAAATGATATTATTCACTACTCTGTTGGTAATTTCGCCAAGGCGGTCCACGGGGCTCACCGTGGTCAACTACGGCGAACACCTTTTGTTAGCCACGGTGAACCACGGAGAACCGGTCTTGTCTATAGGCTATGCTCTCCGCGATACATCGTGGCGGCAGCCACCACGGTGCGACCCACCGAAATCTAAATCTACCGTTACAATATCCGCGATGCGCCGTGGCGGCCACCACTGCTGTGCGGTCGCCCACCGAAACCTGGGTCCTCCAACCACACCAGGATGTGGGCATCTTAGCTCAGTCCCGCTCAGTCACCGGGCTCATCTGCCTACTACCGCCCACCGCGCTCCCTATGTTCTCATGTGCATGATTCAATGGCCAATCACTTCGTCTACCCTCAGAGGAGCAGCCAGCGACAGCGGCGGGGACTTTTGGGTCGGGATTTCACGAAGAGTCTTCGACGACAAACGTACTCTGTACATAAATTTAACGACTAACAAAGTATGTCAGCCACGCTGCGTACTACCTTCGAAACAACCCGCAGAGTACTTGATCGTATATAGAGAGAGTGTTGCTTCATTCTTGAGTGAATGTGTTCGTTTCCCTCTTAGCGCCGACTGAGAAGACGGCTTATTTCGCTCGAAACACAATCATATCAGACTCCAAGATGAAACGGCGTTCTAGAGTGTGAGAGAAAGCCATGTTCGTATAGTTGATGCTGTGTGTGTCGACAGAGTGACGTAGAACAACTTGATTGGACAGTTTGCATTGCGGGACTGTGCGCGTTGAAGATCGTTGAGTAGCCACATATTATCAGCACAGCAAGGAACGTTCTGTGGGAATGTTCTTCGTGGATGGTGCATTACCCCGAGTGTGTTTCTTGTGGATAGTGCATCAGTCAGAGGATTCATGGTACGTCGTGATGTACGTTTACCCCTGTCTGTTGAGTCTTTGTGTTCCGATATCATTGTGTTCTGCTTTTGTGCGTTGGTCGAGCGACATGGGTGGTGGCTGCGGTGCTGCGGTGCTGTGGTGCTCCCGACCCTTGCTCACTTCACCTTTTGACCTGTTCTCCTGGTCCAAGGTCTCAACAATAAAACATCTTTTGCTTAGACATGGGTTGTAGTGAAGGGGGGGGTCTTTCTGGCGAGCAGGGCTAGACTCACCCTCAAGGGATGACCGAAACCTTCTTGCTGCTGCGCATATGCCGCGAGGAGTGCGTGTGGTGGTAGAGTTGGGTCTGCACTGATGGGGTCAGGCGGGAAAATGTAGATGCGTGGGCCTTTCTGGCCGTCGGCGTAGGCAGTGATGCCCATCTCATTTTTGTGCGCGGAGGCAGACACCATCA